ATATATCACTAGAACTACTTCAGGAAGGAGGATGGAATGAGAAGAAACATGCTTCCTTATTGACATATTTGAGGGGATAGCTAGAAGCTACTGGGCATTTCTACTCTTCAGTTTCTAATAAGAGATAATTGGTGGCACTAGACTGGGATGGGGAACCTGCAGCCTTGAGGCCCCATGTGGCCTTGACCCCTGCACTAGACTGATGAAATAGAGAATCAGCAGAGTATGTGGGGGTAGGTAGAAAATTTATACACATACACACACACACGTACATATGTATATATGTGTTTGTAAGTTTGTAATAGATAACCACTTATTCACAAATGTGGAAAATTTCCAGAAGTTCACTGCTTTAGACCCTTTAATTTATTAAAAAGTACATATGAGGAGTAATAGAAGAGCATACTGAAAGACCATTTTGACTTTTTTATTGTTATAGCTTTTTAATGATATGAAAGATGAAACAAAAGCATTTTTATAGATTTCTCTTTCTCTATTTTCTTGAAATTTTAGTATGCCAAATACAAGTGAAAGCCATTCTTTAAATACTAGGTGGCATATGTCTGGATAAAAAGCAAAACCCCAGAAGCCAATTAGGACCAAATCTCAGCCACTTGCAAAGTAGCTCTTCCATACGTATACTGTAGGCAATTTTAAAAAGGAACTTTTATGAATTATCTGTTTTTTTTTGGGTCAGTGAAGCATGGAACAAATACTTTAGACCAATTAGCATGTAGTTTTTCATCTCTGCTACAGTGAGCTGCTGCCAGTCTATGTACTACCTGTCAGAGTAGAAGCCTTTCTAATAGAAGGGTTGAATTTCTATCCTATTTTTGAATTTTAGTTAAAAATTTTTGTTGGCACAGTAGAAAAGTCATATATACAAAGGCATGTGACAGTGATGGTCTCCTGCATTACCTTGACATTTATATTTTGGTGAAGACTTTTATCCTGACACATTGTTCTGTTCAATTATTATTATATCTTTTTTCAGTGCAGTAATGTTCAGGAAACTAGAACTAGGATAACTCAGCATGCTCTTGAAACCATTTGAAGTTGCTAAAGGATTTTGAGAGGTAGATATTTCAGAGAAATTGACATTTCAGAAAGAGACTCCCCCCCCCCCCCAATCTCTGTTGATGTTTGAAAGCCTTCAAAGTGTTGCTATGATCAGAGAGAAGGATTTCTTGTGAAATAGTTCCTCCCATACTACAGTGACTTGGGACTGTCGGGCTGTCGATTCAGTTCCTCTCTGGTTGAAGAGACTTGTTTCATGAAAACTGTCTGAGGTTGCATCCTGAAGCTTGAAGGTTTATTTTGAATTTAGATTAAGAAAATATAAAATTAACTTCTTTTCAAAAGAAGCTTCAAAGCAAACCTTAAAACAGGCACTCCAATTGAAATATCTCTTGAAAAAAAATCCAGAATCCTACTGTTCTACATTTCATATTTTTGACAGTATTTATAGTTATTTCCAAGTCACAGCTATGAGAACTCTGGTTTTCCTCCAACCTGTCCGAATACTACTTATCAGTCTCCTTTGCTGAACCACTATGGATCTTCTGTGTCTTATATATGGGTGTCTCCCCAAGGTTTTGTCCTGTGCTCTTTTCTCTTGATAGTTTTTCCCTCAATGATCTCATCCCTTGAACCTACCACAGGTTCACTTATCATCTCTACCTAGGTAACTTCCAGAACTATTTATTCATCCTTAATCACTTTCTTGAGCTCCAGTCCACAACTCCAGTTGCCTCCTGGCCATATTTGCCTGGATGTCCCAAAGCCACCTGAAAGCAACTTACCTGAAAGATAACTCACCATCTTTCTTCCCAAACTCACCTTGCCTCTAAACTTCTTAATTTCTGTTGAGAGAACCAGCATCTTCCTAGTCACTCAGGGTTGTAACTTTGGAGTCATTTTTAATACTTCCCTTCCTTTCACCCCCAAATCTAATTAGTTGTGAAGTTTGGTAGATTTTACCTCTACAACATCTATTAAATTAATTTTATTTACTTTATTCACATGATGTAATGAATAGAGTATTGGGAATGAGGTCAGGAAGACCTAAGTTCAAATCCTGCATCTGATACTTACCAGCTGTGGGATCCTAGACAAGTCATTTATTCTCTCTAAGCCTCAATTTCATCTGTAAAACAGGGATGATAATAGCACTTACCTTCCAGAGTTGTGAGGCTAAGATAATATTTGCAAAATCTTTCGCAAACCTTAAGGCACTATATAAATATTATGATTATGATTTATTATTTCTATTGCCCTAGTTGAAGTCCTCATCATTACTCACCTGGATTCCTGTGATAACCTCCTGATTAGTTTTCCTGCTTCAAATCTCAAGATGTCTTTAATATAATATCCACACAGATGCCAAGATCATCTCCCTAAAGTACGGAACTGACCAAGTCATTCCCCTACTCAAAAATATTTAATGACCCCAGTCTACTCTAGGATAAAATACATACTCTCAGCCTAGCATTTAAAGCTTCTGTGATCTGGTCCCTATCTACCTTTCAATCCTTATTTCATATCTTTGTTCCAGAAAAACTGAACTACTATGTTTCCCCAAACTTGACATTCCTTCTCTTGGTAGATTTGTTCAACCTGTATCTCATGACTGGAATAGAGACTCTCTGTAGCGCAGTATTCAGAACAGCACCTTAGGCATTTAATAAGTGTATCATTGTAGTGGTGGTGCTGTTCCTCCACAGAGCTAAAGAGTTAGGTCATTCCTCCTTATTCCCCCACCCCCTCCCCCTACTTTGTGTGGATTGGATCACTTCTTCCCAGCCAATCCTTCTATTCTGCCCATTGAGTATGACTTTTTCTCTAGTCACTTCCTTTCATTGCCTCTGAGGAAGAATGGTTTTCTTTTAGGAAACTCACGTTGTAGATTCCAAATATGGTGGTTCTACCATCACAGATGATGACATTAGATTGATAGAAAAAATAATGACAAATCTGTTTGATTTCACATCAGTTGAATCCTTCCAGTTTCATCTATAAAAATTCTGGGGAGAGTCTGACTTGGTTTTATCTTGTCTTTGACTAACTTTCTGCAGACCTTATTTTCCTTCCATTTCTTCTTGTTCTGTGTGTGAGGTTGTTGAGGGGTATTTTTGTTATCATTTGCAAATTTCCTCTGTAATACTTTGCATCTTAACTTTTAGGTTTGTGTTTGTTTATCTTGGCAATAATAATAATAATAATAATAACTTCACATTAATGTATCACATTAAAGTTTAAAAGCATTGCTCTCACAACCATCCTATGACAAAGGTAGCATATATTTTATCATCCTCATTTCATAGGGAAGAGACTGAGACTCATGCAGATTAATTAAATTGCTCATGATCATGTAACCAGTGAATGTTGAGGAAAAAGTTGAAACTCTGGTCTCCTAACTCAAATTCGTTGTTTCATCATACTACCTTAAGGTTTGCAAAGCACTTTACGTATTTTGTCTTATTTAATCCCTATTACAACCCTGTGGGATAGATACATGTCTCTCTACTCAGCAAAGTGACAAAGTGTTTGGGAGCCCAGGCGCTTTCTAGGCTCTTCATTGTGATAACTTTTATATTCATTAAGTATTCTAAGAAATTATGATAATCAGATTCAATATCTTTAGCTTTATCTATTTCTATTTTTAAGTAAAAACTTCAATAGATAATTATAATAATTATAATTGTAATTGCATGGAATGTTTTTTCATCTTTATCCTTTCTTCTAATTTGGTGTAGACTTTTTAACTTTTGTTTTAACCAGTGCCAATCAATTAGTTGACTGATAGCTGTGAAATGACTGTGGCATAGATCCTCAGTTAGTTTTGATTTATTAATTTGTAGTCTCTCTCTCCCTCCCTCTCTCTCTCTCGCTCTCTCTCTCTCTCTCTCTCTCATCTACCTATGCATTTACCTACCTCTCACCAATGTAGTGATTTTGCTTGGTACTTGCAATGTCTGCCAGTAGATTGGTTACTTTGTGATGAATTCTTTGGTTAGATTACCCTAACTCCATGGTGGGAGAAAATATTAGAATTAGGCACTTCTACAAATCAATCCATCAGATTCTCATGATGCCAGTTAACTAGACAGAGTATCCAGGAGAAGTAGAATAATAGTTTCTCTCTATATTTTCACTCTAAGACTGTGCCTACAAAACTGCAAAGTTTAATGGGGAAAAATAAGTTATTTTTTTTGACACTGTGAAAACAAAATAATTGATTTTCAGATTTTCCCTTTAAAAAATATTTTGACCTCAAAATTACAACTAACTTACTAGACAAATTTAATTGGTTTTAAAACAGATTTATATCACACAGATGGGCTTGAGATATTAAGAATACTTTTGATATATGACCTCTGAGGACTATAGAAGAAATGTGAAAAGTCCTAAGTGTCTTTTGATAAAGAAAAACTTTTTGCTTATGCAAAATAGTTTAGTTATTAAATGTTAAAATAAATACTTTGACATTCCCCCATTAATTAAAGTTTTTTCCATTAGTTTAAGACACATAGATGTTGAATTTGAATTTTCATTTTGACTTTTAATCATGAAATGGAGAAAATCTTACCCTTTTTACAATATAGTCATTAAACTTATCTGATGAGTTGTGGAAATAGGAACTAATCTTACCTTCTTAATAATATAGAGGGTGTCATTAAGCTGTTATTGAATGAGACACAGAGAATTTCCCATGTACAATTTTAGCAATAAAAGAAGCTAGAAATGTTTAAAAACTGATGAACAGACTGAGGCCTTTGTTATCTGTGCTCACATTATCTCTGTTCTGTTGATAGGCATATGCTTTGTTCCCCTTTTAAGCATCCTTAGATGGGAAGGAATTGGCTAATTTCAGACCAGTAAGGAATAACAGAATTTTTTTTTGACTGTTGAAAATAATGTATCTTTTAAAGTCTTTATAAACCCTGGATTTATTTATTTTATATGAAATATTAATTGATTTTCTCTGGTTTTATTTTTAGATAGAGGAATTTCGAAGACTGAGGACCCATGTTAAAGGTGCAGAACTCTTAGAGGGCTGTGATGGAATTTTAGGAGACAACTTCAGACCCACTCAGCCACTTAGTGACAGAGTAATCCGAGCTGCATTCCAATAGCCAAAGAGATCAAGAATGAATTAATCTTCATCCAGGTATGTGATCATTAAAGAAAATGAAGCATGTAATAATGTAAGTTACTCATGGTAATCAATATAATTGAGCAGTTAAATAAGTATATTTCATTTTGACAAAACTTAAGACATTTCAGAGCCTCATTAATTACAAGTCTGGAGTTTATTCTGATATTTTCTGTATTGGAAAATAGTCTTTTTTCCTTTCTTTGAATAATTTGTATGTACTTCTTGCCTTGATAGTCAGTGATACCAGTGATGTAAGCATGCTGCAGTAAGGAAACAGTGATGGGAAATGACTACTTGGTAATTTACTATAACTTACACTGAAATTACAGCATTTAGTACCCAGAGGATAAAAAGTATAGATAAAGGAAGTATTGATAATGGATAATAGGAAATCAATGCAGTATGAAATTTTGAATTTTTGACTCTCATTCTCTATGTAAGAGATGGTCAGTATGCTTATAGGGTGTCTAGATGACTAGGGTAACTATTAAATAGTATCCTATGTTGGGGTCAATATAGTGCCCCCAATAGCTGCTCAAAATTTGGAAAAATAGAGATATAAGTTGGGAAAGTGTTTCTTGATATGCTCAACAATCCATTCAGAAGCATTTACTATCTATCTGCATGGGGTGCTTCACTATATATAGTAGAGATGGAGTTAGATAGATTGCTATCAACTCTCCATCCTTAAACTTTTACTAGACCCTACCATCCCTTCAAGCTGTTGTGCTACAGCTCCCCTTACTTTCGCAGCCATACTCCTTAAAAGATCTGGTGACGCTGGTCAATTCTGCTTGTTTTCCTTTCACTCACTCCTTAACACTGCAATCTGGATTTGGACCTCATCACCCCAAAGAAGCTGTTCTCTCCAAAGATATCAGCTGGAGGCCACTAGGTGGCATGGTGGATAAAGTGATGAACCACATAAAAGCATTTGTGACCTGGGCCAAGTCTCTTAATCTCTGTCTGCCTCAATTTCCTCCTCTGTAAAATGGGAACAATAATAATTTCCACCTCTTAAGATTGCGGTAGGCTTTGAATGAGATTTGCATAGTCTTTGCAAGCCTTAAATCAACTTAGCTATTAGTATTATATCAATTGTCAAATGTTGATGATTAAATTTTTTCAACCCTAATTCTTCTTGATTTACATGCTGCATTTGATACTGTAAATTCTCTCCTGTCAAGGTTTTCATGACAATAAGTCTCCTCCTCAGAGTCTGCTTAGATGGTGAGGTGGATAGAATGTGGGGTCTGTAGATAGTTAGACCAGAGTTCAAATTTGATTTCAGACAGTTGCTAACTATGTGAACCTGGACAAATAACTTAACCTCCATTTGCCCCAGTTTCCTCATCTGTAAAATGGGGATAATAAGAGCACCTATCTCCTAGGGCGATTGTAAGGATCAAATTAGAAAATAATTGAAAAACACTTAGCACAGTGCTTCACAGATAGTAAGTGGTAGATAAATATTAGCTATTATTATTTGTCTTACTTCTCTTTTTCAGTTTCCTTTACTAGCTCATTATCCATATCTACACCCAATCTAACCATGGATGTTCCCCAAGATTCTTTCCTAAATCCTCTCCTATTTTTCCTCTACATTTTCTGTTTTGATAGCATCATCAGCTCCATGGGCTTAATTACATTTCTCTTCAGATGACTTCCAGATCTATCTATCTAGCCCCATTCTCTCTTTGGAGCTTTAGTACCACAGTACCAATTGTCCATTGGCTATATAGAACTGGATGTTCCAGAGACATTTTAAACTCAACATGTATAAAACTGAACTTATTATCCTTCTCCATAAATGCTTTACTCTTCCAAACTCCTCTATTTCTTTCAAAAGTACCACCATTCTTCTAGTCTCCAAGCCTTATAATCTCAAATATCCTGGACTCCTCACTTAGCTTCAACCCACATATCAAATCAGTCACCAAATATTGCCATTTTAAAAATCTTGATAATACCCCTTATATCTGACCTCTTCTTTACTTTCACACAGCTGCTGTCTTAGTCCAGGACCTCATTATTTTTGCTTAGATTATTGCATCTGCTTCCTATTTGGTCTTTACCTCAAATCATTCCCTACTCCAGTCCATTCCATTCACTACTGCCAAAGTAATTCTCTTTAAGCACAGATCTAATCATGTGACCATGTGATTCCTCTACTCAATCAACTCTAGCAGCTTTCTATTTACTCTAGGATAAAATACAAGCTCCTCTGCTTAACTTTTAAGGCCCTACTCAACTTGACCCCTAAGGATCTTTTTGGCCTCACTAGATATTACCCCCCTCCCCCAGGCATATTCCATTTCCTGTCTCCATGTCTAAGCATTGGCCATCTCCTATGCCTGGAATATATTACTTTCTTACCATCACCTCAAAGATCCTGTGTCTTCTTTCAAGATGTAGCTCAGTCACCATCTTCTACGTGAAATCTTTTCCTGATCCAACAGATAATGGCCTCCCTTCCAAACTTCCTTTATTTAATTATTTACTTTTATTTAATTACTTTTTATATATTTGTAAGGGAGTTTGCCTGTACAGGTTCAGATTGCCCAATATAGAGGCACCCTGCATCTTACCTTTTCCTACCATGGCTAAGACTAGCCATCTTTGCCTGGCTGGCATGGCCAGAAGAGGTTGCTTCTTAGAAACTGGCCATACAGACTTTCCTGCAAGCTCTTCCTGCCATGTCCAGAAGATAAAGATCACAATTTACACTCACTGTTTTACTTTGCTCTGAGAAATGCAAAATGAGTCTGAAGTCTCTGTTCCATTTTGTGACAAAGAATCCTAGGGAAGCCATGGCAAATCACTTAACCCTGCTTGCCTCAGTTTCCTCATCTGTAAAATAAGTTGGAGAAGGAAATGGCAAGCCACTCCAGTATCTTTGCCAAGAAAATCCCAAATGAGGTCACTGAGATTTGGGCATAACTGAAACAACCAAACAACAACAACAAAAAGTCATTGTATATATTGTGCTGTATGTATTTTTAAGCCTCCTTGTCTCTTCCATTTGAATATAAGCTCCTTGTGAGTAGAATTTGTTTCATTCTTTGAACTCATAGCCCTAACATTTATCATAGTCTCTGGCACAGAGATTATATATAGAAACATACACACACACACACACACACACACACACACACACACACATATATTGCCTTCATGTAGGTGGGTAGGTTTTGTAATAGTGAATAATAATAATAATTCACTTTTGCAAAGTACTTGAAGGTATGTGAAATACTTTTCTTAAAACAACCCTTTGAGGTAAGTAGTATAAGCCTTTTTTTTTCTCTTTTTAACAGATGAGGAACCTGAGGCTCATAGAGAGATGACTTACTTATGGTCATACAACTAGGAAATATAAGAATTGGTATGCAGATCTAGCTTTCCTGCTGCAGCAAAATACAAGTTTTCTCTTTTGTTCTTTGAGAAACCCGCTACATAGATGGTGGACATTTTATTGCACTGAGTGTGATTCTAGAATTTTCCCTTCATTATAACCAAAGACAGTCTATTTGTAGGCTGATAGACCTAGTGAGAGGCTCGGCCTTGGCTGGCCTCCCTACCATTCCTGAGCAGCTATAAAAGCTCTGCAGGGTTCACTTGAATTTCTTTGCTCCCTCTCTTGTCCCACAGGGAAGTAGGAAAGATGAAACAGGCACAAGGTGGTATGATCACTTCACTATAATCACCCTTGTGTGTGAAGCTCTTTTAAGAATATTTTCCCCAATCTCATCTGTTTTCTTGCCAGTTAAACTTTTATCTTTTTATCTTTTCTTCTATTTTAGAAACTTGGCTCCTTCCTCTCTCTTTCAGAGGCATCATAACATAGTTGTTCTGGAGTTGGGGAGCCTAGGTCCATGTCCTCCTGCCTCTTATGCTTAGTACATGTCTAGCTTTAGGCAAATCACTTGATATCTCTTTTTCTCCATTTCCTCACCTGTAAAATGAAGAGATTGGTTTAGATGACCTCTACAATTAGAGATTCTTTAAAAGAAGGAACCTCATAGCTGCTTTAAGTTTACTGATGAAACCACTGCTTTTTACAAGTGAAAAAACTCTATAACAGTTTCTTAGATAATAAAGACAAAGTCACCTTAGAAATCTACTTCTTATTATATTTACTTCAATCTCTTTCAATTCCTATGCTGGCTAACAGACTTCACTTTTCATTCCATTCTAGTAGTAAGAATGAGGAAAGTAAGGAAAAGATGCTTCTTTGTGGAAGCCTCTCTGAAATTGGAGGTCCCTTAGCAAATAAAGGTACAATATGGGAAGATTACAGGGATTAGAGGATTGAGTGAGAATTTTTAAGGATGGGAAAGATTAGGGCATGTTTGTAGATAGCAGGAAAAGAAGCTGTAGAAGGGGAAGAGTGGAAGATAAGAGATGGGCAGGTTATAGAAATGATGGGAGAGAATGGGACCAAGGTTATGTATAATGGGGTCAGCTCTGGAAAGGAGAAGGGAGGTTGATGTGAATGGTCTTGTTTTTGTTGTTGTTGAAGTATGAAAAGAAGTCCTCAGCTGAAAGGGGAGGGTAGGGTTGGAGGCTTCAGAAGAGAAGAGAACATTTGGAATAGCCTCTGTGATGAGTGGGATAAGGAATCCATTAGTCAGTAGTAGAATTACTGTAGTCAGGGCCCAGTTGGGATCAGATAACATAAATTTGTAGAAGACTCAGTACAGTTTCATGCCATTTTCTAATTCCAATCAAGAATATGTGAATAGAAGTGAAGGAGTAAATTTTGGGAGTATTTTTTGGATGCCAATACAACACTCAGGCTGGGTGGTAGTACTAGTGGATGATTTCATACTCATTGGTCCTAAAGAACCTGTTTGTTGACCTAATAAGAACAACAGAAAGGTCTTTTGTCTTCTCAGTGCATATATCTATGTCATAACAAAAAATGTCTTAAAATATTCAAATGAATGAAGGATTGACAATGATTTTGAAGTTTTGGGCAGTAAACTGAAAACTAGAGGGGCCCAGGTTGGGTT